GTGAGGGTCCCTGGTGCCAAGCCCAGGAGCTCTCCAGGGGAGAAGCCAGACTCTTACCCTGGTGTTCGTCACCAGCAGGTCCCGCACCGTATAGCTCTCACATTCCTCCTCTTTTTTCAGCTCCACTGTGATGTCTCCATAGGACACGGAGCCGTCAGACGGCCAGTACTGGGCACACTTCTCCTGAGGAAGCATCACAGGAGAAGACAGGGTGAGGACCCCGTATTTCTCCCATGGGCTTGAATAGAAGAGTCTTCTGGGGGCTGGCAGCTGCTCCAAACCAGGGGGGATCCCATGGACTTCACAGACTCATGGAATCACAGACTTGTTTGGGTTGGAAGTGACCTTAAAGATCATCTCATTCCAACCCCCTGCCATTCATTTGTTTTGCTGCTGTTTAATGCAGTTATTCCTGGGAGCTTACCTGGCCTCTCTCCTCCAGCTCCGTTAGCATCACTATGGAGCAGGATTTCCACTCCCAGATCATCCTCCAGAAGTCCTCTATCGTGTGCTGCAGAGGCCCTTGGCTGGCGATGTAGGAGTCCTTCTGGCGATAACCCTGTAATGTGGGAACAGGGTTAGTGGTGCACTGGCAGTGCTGCATGCTGGGAGCAGTGGGAGGAATGCTCTTGGACATGGTCAGGTTACCAAGCTCAGTTCAATTTTGGGAGCACCATGATTGTCCATGTCAATGACCACAGCCTGGGCAGAGAAACCTGCTCTCATGGTGCACTATGGGCACCACCACGTTGCTGCTCAGCACCTGAGGTGCCATCAGCTAGCACTTCACCATGTAAAACCTTTGTTTTTGAAGAAACAGAGCAGGAGAAGGATCATATCCCCTTCAGAAGCCTGACCTTATCCATTTGGAGAAGAAAGATTTGGCATGCCTAAGTGATATTGCAAACCCTGAGTGCAGGAGCTGAGCTTTGCCTAAGCTCCAAGTACTTCAGGTATGAATTTTACTGGGTTTTTTTTGGAAGAAATAAGCAAAACTAGATGATCTCTAAGGTCCCTTCCAACCAAATACATTCTATGATGTATGAAAAGTAGCAGTAAGTCTGGATAACTCTGGTTCTTCCACAACCAGAAAGTGTTTCTGTTTTCAAACCCCTCTGACATTCCCCTGTGCCCTTGCTGCAGACTATGACTACAGATGCTTCGTCATTTGGAGTTTGTCATTTAAGCAAAGTTCAGCAGAGGCAGGAAATTGAATCCTCAACAAAATTGCTTACGTGCCATGGAAGCTTTCTGATCTGGATGCACAAGGCAGCTGCTCCCGGCTGCTCCTGCAGCCAGAGCCACCCACAGGGACCCAGCAAGGGAGATTTCAGGGAGCAATTAACTAGGGGTGTTAGAACTGGGAAGAAACTGGATTTAGTGGTTCAACCCATTGCAGCGATAAGCTTTTTTGGAAAAAAACTCCCCTCTGTCATTAGGAGATGAAAGCAGAAATTGGGCTGGAAAAGAGCAGGGTCTGTCACTTGGCCAGCACTGGCATCACTGCATGAAGATAAATATTCATCCCAGATGTCCCTCTGGAGACAATAGGATTGCTCAGGAGAAAAGGATATGCAATTACTTATCTCCTCTTCGGAGTGAGGAAAGCACTTAACCTTCCTGCCTTGCCTCACCCAGACAGGTGTAATGGGATTGACCTGGTTTTTCTCAAGGGTTTTGGGATTGTGTATTGCTCCATTACCTAATCTATTGGATGTTTTCTGACCAAATCACTGGTGCTGCATCATCTCCATGGCTACATGCATATGCTCCTCCACAGCCATCAGCAGAGCCCAGAGGTGCAGAAGCAACCCAGGATTTGGAGGCTCTGCTCTCCAGCTCTCTTCTCCCACCAGCTGTGGGACCGGAGGAGTTGCATATTTCTTGGAGAAAGAAACCAGCACCATCCAGTGACACAAAGCACAGTCAAGTGGAAAGAGCCTTATGAAACCTCAGAGTGTTTTGGACAAATCCTCCCCACAAGAAGCAGTGTGAGGTAAAGTTTGCACTGGGAGAAGATGGAGAGAATACTCAAGAAGACTCACGTCAATGAAGGAAGCGTTTACGTAGTCTGTGTTCTCTTCACCTCTCTTCACTGGAATGATTACTCGGTTGAACTCATCTGAAACACAACAAAATGACCTGAGTTTTGGAGAACTTCTTCAGATCGTGACTCCTGGGATAACCATGCACAGCTCTTAGCTGGGGAGTCACCAAGCCCTGAGTGGGAGACAGAGATATGGGAAGGGGAACCTTGTGTTTACAGCATCCAGCTGGGACAAGGAGACTCAGCTCTGCTCCATGCCCTGGTTCGGGAAAGGAGAAGGGGATGCTGAGCATTCCAGGAGCGAGACCTGCTCAGCACTGGGACTTCCTTTCCCTCAAGGCAGAAAGCCTTGGCAGCAGAAACCAGCTGAGAAGAAAGTCATGGCAGAAGTCACTGCAGAAGCCCTAGGGGCAGTGTTGTATTTGGCCAAGAAAACCACCTGTCCTTGACTCTGCCCTGTCCCTTCATGTGATCCCTGCTTGAACAAGGGATTGGGACAGATGACATCCACAGTTCCCTTCCCACCTCAGCTGGTCTGTGACTCCATACTGTGAAGTATAAATACCTCTGTCTTGACAGCTCCCAAGCACACACAGAATCACAGAGTGGCTGAGGTGGGACAAGAGCTCTGGAAGCCATCTGGTCCAACCCCCTGCTAAGGCAGGGCCAGCCAGAGCTGGTTTCCCATCTGTGTCCACATTTTTAATATCTCCAAGGATGGAGACACCACAACCTCCCTGGGCAACCTGTGACAGCACTCAAGTCACCCTCACAGTCAAAACGTGTTCCCTGATGGTCAGAGGGACCCTCCTGTGCCTCAGTGTGTGCTCATTTCCCCTTGTCCTGTCACTGGGCAATACTGGAAAGGGCCTGGCTCCATCCTATCTGCATCCTCCCTGCAGGTATTTATGGACACTGATGAGACTTCCCAGAACCTTGTTTTCTCCAGGCTGAGCAGTTCCAGTTCTCTCAGCCTTTCCTTAGAGCAGAGATGCTCTGGTCCTTTTGCTGGGTCTCTCTTGTACTGGAGAGCCAGAACTGGACCCAGAGCTCCAGCTGTGGCCTCACAAGTACTGAGCAGAGGGGCAGGATCCTCTCCCTTGACCTGCTGGCACAGCTTCGTCTCACAGAGCCCAGGACACCACTTTGTCACAAGGGCATGTTGCTGGCTCAAGGTCAACTTGGTGTCCACCAGGACCCCAGGGTCTTTCCTGCTAAGCTTCTTCCCAGCTGGGTGGCCCTAGCACAAACTGGTGGCTGGGGTTGTCTCTTCCCAGGGTCAGAACTTTGCACTTTTCCTCACTGAACATCATGACAGCCCTGTTGTCCCATTTCTCCAGCTTGACTGCTGTCCCCACACCCACCAACATGCCTTCCCCGGGAGACAAACAAGCCTTACATGGAATTATCTGAAGCACCCTGTTCTTCTTCATGTTTGCTGGCAAGTTGCCCGTTCTCATCTTGTCGTTCTGGATTTTGATTGAAGTGAGTTTCTGCAGAGGAAGGAGCAAAGCAGAGATAGGTTTCAGAGCCACCCAGAGCCAGGAAAACACATGGTGGTCCCCACATCCAGCATCATCCCAGCAGATCTACTAGGACCAAACTCACCTTAAACTCCTCTTCCAGCCCATTGCTGCTGGTCCCTGGCACTTTGTTGTAGATCTTCTGGAGGTGGATCTCTAACGAGGTCACCTCCAGCTCTGTGTCACCGTAGAGATAGTGCTCCAGAAGTGCTTGGTATATAAACACATACTGCATCTGCAGGAATTGCAGGGAGAATTCATCAGTCCCTGTTCACACTCAGTGAGCACAGACCGGATGCAAACCCACTGCTCTGCTGCTCACACGTGCTTGTTGGGCAGGTGGCACTTCTCTGAGGCCCCAGAGAAGCAAGTGACAATGTTTCTGTCACTAAATGGGGACTGGGACTTTATTTGCTGCACCACGCAAAGGTGATGTGACACAAAACGTTCTCCAAGTCTGGAGAAAAGGATGCTCAGGGGGCACCCTGTTGCTCTCAACAGCTCCCTGACAGAAGGCTGGAGCCAGGTGGGGGTCAGGCTCTGCTCCCAGGAACAAGTGACAGGACAAGAGGAAACAGCCTTAAGCTGTGCCAGGGAAGGTTTAGATTAGATATTATGGAAAATTTCTTCATGGAAAGAGTTGTCAAGCCCTGGCATAGGCTGCCCAGGGCCATGGTGGTTACCATCCATGGAGGGATTTAAAAGCTATGTAGATGTGGCACTTGGGGACGTGGTTTGGTGGTGACCATGGCAGTGCTGGGTTAACAGTTGGACTGGATGATCTTAGGGATCTTCTCCAACCTAAATGATTCTATGATTCTATGAAGGGGATGAAAAAGAGCAGGACCCACTGAAGGGCTCACCTGATGCAGCACCCTTCCAAAATACGGCTGATGCTCAACCCTCAGTAGGCCTTGACTGCCTGAAGGAAATCTAACCCCAGTGAGCAGAGCCCAGAAGCAATGGTAGCAGCACACTTACATCTGTCTGTACCATCTGGCAGCGCTGAGCCCGGATGCGGCTCACGAAGCCGTAAACATCCACCTTCCTCTCCGCATGCATCATGTCCAGCATGGCATCGATGACAATGAAAGTGCCTGTGCGTCCCACCCCAGCACTGAAACAGAGGGGACAAGTGCTCAGTGCTGTGGTGTACGGTGCTTTGTAGGGCAGCCAGGAGTGAGCCAGACAGTCCCCAGCCCTAAGCAAATAGCAATGTCTGTTTGGGAGATGACAGAAATCCTCAGTGTGGTGTTCAGCATACTCTGTGTTGTGCAGAGATGCACACACCATCTCCAGTGACCACCGTGACCAGAGTGTGTGACAGGCTGGAAGAGCTGGGAGTGTTCAGCCTGGAGAAGAGAAGGCTCCAGGGAGACTTTCTAGCACCTTCCAGTGCCTAAAGGGATACAAGAGACCTGGAGAGGGACTCTGGACAAGGGCCTGGAGGGACAGGACAAGGGGAAATGGCTTCCCACTGCCAGAGGGCAGGGATAGATGGGATATTGGGAAGAAATTCTTGGCTGTGAGGGTGGTGAGGCACTGGCACAGGATGCCCAGAGAAGGTGTGCCTGCCCCATCTCTGGAAGTGTTCAAAGCCAGGTTGGATGAGGCTTGGAGCGACCTGGTCTCATGGAAGGTTTCCCTGCCCATGGCAGGAAGGTTGGGACTAGATAATATTTAAGGTCCTTTCCAACCCAAACCACCTATGATATCCAGTGTCCTTATAGGATGCCTGTTCCAACCAGCTCCCTGATGCTCCTTCCAGTCAATCTCCACCTTGTGAAGGTCAGCCCCTGGGGAAACCTTGTGTCTGTACTGGGAGCTCAGCCATTAAGGAGATGTAGTATGAGGCCAGCAGACACTAAGGGAAGACAAAGCCCTTTTGTCAGCTGTTTTTTGAGAAGGAATGAAAGATGGATTTGGGAGGTTGCAAATGTGATCATCTTTGCCTTTAACTGTGGGGCTTTCTCTTTTTGAAATGTGGAAGACCCTGGTGCTCCCCCAGGTTTGCTGCTGCACTGGAAACCACTCCACATGAGGCCAAACACCATGGTCCTTGCTCCCAGGCACACTGTCAGCTGAATACTGCCTTCCCCAACAAGAGATGCTGTCCTCTTGTGCCCAGGGCAGTGGAGAGCCAAGGGAGATGCCACCAGTGCCCAGCAGTGGTGCTCAGCTTGGCTTCCTTGGCATCCAGATAACCCAAATGACTCAACACAACCCTAATTGCTGTAGCACCATCATATCCGTAATTTCAAGAAGTTCCTTCAACTCACATGCATTTTTCTGAATGTCCCCATGTGAACATCACCACTTAGCATGGGAAAGTTAAATAAAGATAATTAAAAAGGCCTGACCAGAGAAACAACCCTTTTAAGTATGAAATAGGAGATGCTTTCCAGAGGCAGAGGCCACCTGTGAGCAGGACTCACCTGCAGTGCACGACTATGGCTCCTGCATATTGGGGGTTACAGGTCTTCACCTTCTTCAGGAACTTCAGCATCCCGATGGGGGTGAAGGGGACCCCGAAGTCAGGCCAGCTGGTGAAGTGGAACTGAGTCACCAGGCGCTGAGGCTTCTTGTTCGTCACGTCACCGACCTGAAGTGTTAATGAGAAATACTCAAGATTTCCCTTCTTTCCCCAAAATCAAGGGCAGAGAGGGAGCTGCAGCCCTGAGATGGAGCTGGATGACTTAAGAAGCAGCATCCACAGCTGAAAGGGCACAGACCCAGACACTGTGAGAAATTTGTCTAGAAAAACATGACATTTTCATCACTCAGCACTCACATCTGAGGAGTGTGAGATGCCAGCTTGGCCCCAGCTGTGGCTCCAATCTGGCAGCAGCTGCCATATTTCATTCCCAGGGAGCTCAAACAGAAGCTGTTGCTCCATCCTTTCCCACTCCTCTGCCCACAGCATCCTCGTGTTAAAGGCAGGGGAGGAAACCACCCATGCCCAGGCCACTGGAGTGAAGGATGAGGCTTAGGAGAATCACACTCAGGGTCCAGATGGGTTTTCAGGCACCAGCTCTTCCCTGCCTGCCTGCCTGCCTCCAAGAGCAGCAGGAAAACAAACAGAGCAACTGGAACACCCAGGGTCTCCTTGGAGGACAAGGAAATGTAGTGACAGATGGGAAAGCAATCACACCCAATGCATACGGCACTGGATTTTGTGTCGGCTCATGGGATAAATCTGATTATTTGCAGGCATTAAGTGTCTGTGGGTGAGAGCAGGAACCAGTACTGGTAACAGTCCTGGAGTATTACAGGATGGAATTTCAGCCTGGCATCCATCAGCTTCCCTGCTCTCAGTACAGCCACCCTGGTATCCACTGGGAATGGGTGTTTAAGAAAAATAAATTCTTAATAGCTCTGGTTAAAAATGGATGTTGAGGGTCATGTCATCCCAACTGTAATCTTACGGCACCTTGGAGGAGTTGAGGAGTGCACCAGCACCTTCGGGATGCCGAGTTTAGAGAGGGGAGGAATGGATAGGATGGGATGGAGTGGGAGATGAGCCCTGGCACCTGTTGGATGCAGAACTTCCGCACGGTGTAATCCACCAGGACGGTCACATCCTCCACAGACACTCGGATGTTCCCATATGTCCAGCAGCCCTGATCCGGCCAATACTGAGCACACTTACACTGTAGAGAGAGAACACAGGTGCAGATGAGTTCTGGACCCACACAAGCCTGGGACCAGCTCCAGGACATGCCCATGGACATAATATATGCTGGATTCAGCCCAACCCATGAAGCCTGGCACCTACCTCTTTCCTCTCTTTCAGGTTGGTCACCATGACAATTGTTGCTGTGTTTTGCTCCCAAATCATCCTCCAAAAATCATTCACTGTTTCTTCCTTTGGTCCTAAGGGTAAGGAAAACAAAACACTTTCTTTGGGATCAACCTCTCAAGATTTGAGCCCAAATCCCAGTGTGTGAGGTCACACATCGTGGGTGATGCAACACACTTTTTGTCAATAGATGTCAGAACAAGAGGTGCTCTGGTGTCTAACCTAAGGAACAATCCTATCACACAGTAGCTGGAATTTTTGGACGTGTTTTAGGATCACGAATTCCATTTTTAGCCCAAGAAGGGGAAATCACACAAACGGAGCATGGAAGCGACTTGTCCAAGGTCACACAGGGAAATTGTGTCTGTCTCAGAATCCACAGAAGTCCTATCCTGGGATCTTGGGTTTTAGCCATGGGATCCCATTGCAATGTGGCACAAGGATAGTTCCTTGCTGCCTGCCAGACACGGAGCTAACTCAGCCTAGACTCTCTTGCCAAGCCTGAGGCTAAGGGTGAGCCAAGAGAACAGCAGAGCCAAAGCTTAACCTGAGCCTGGAAGCGCTGACGGACCCAATCCAAGCTCCTTCTCTAGCAAGAGCCAGAGAAACTGGCAGGTGATGCCCTGACTCACTGGCAAGTCGAGTGGAAATATAAAACACTCCCTTGGGCAGGTAACACCCTGTTGCTGACATCAACTCTCCTGCAGGTAGGAATCTTGGTTTTAGGATGTGTTTGGACTTCTGAAGACCACAGTGAATTTTCGCTTCCCACTGTCAGAGGGCAGAGCTAGATGGGATATTGGGAAGAAAATCTTCCCTGTGAGGGTGCTGAGGCACTGGCACAGGTTGCCCAGAGAAGCTGTGGCTACCCCATCCCTGGAAGTGTTCCAGGCCAGGTTGGATGGGCCTTGGAGCATCCTGGGCTGGTGGAAGGTGTCCCTGCCTATGACAGAGGGTTGGAACTAGGTGGTCTTTTATGTTCTTTCCAACCCAAACCACTCCATGATTATATGACTTGGGGAACTGAACTAAGCAGCTTCCTGGTGTTATTTCCAGAGATCACAATTCCTGCAGCTGTGAGCCAGGGTGGAAGGACAAGGCTCAGGGCAGAAATGCTTTGATACCCTCCAGCAATGGGTATTACACAGGTAGAACTTCTATTCTTCTGCCAGCACATTCAGCACTGGTCTTTGACTGGGAAAACCATTTTGTGAAAAACCTGTGGACCAGCCAAGCCTCCTTTTGACCAGAGGCGCTCTGCAAGATGCTGTGCTGTAGTTAGACTGGTCCAGCTTTACTGAGCAGAGGGATCCATCCCAGCTGCCACCTAACACAGCTACAGGGATAACAGTATTTACCTTGTGCAGCAATGAACTTGTTTTTCTCTTGGTACCCCTAGAGAAAAGGAGAAAAGGAATAAAAATTAGTGTTCTTCTAACACAAGAGTCATGAAATGCATTGACACTGGTAATAAACATATCCAACACCTGCTCTGCTGCTCACTCTCCCCTGTGCAGAGAAGGGGCTGCAGCCTCCAAGGGGAGAAACGGCACCAACAGTAGGGCTGAAATAATGGAAAATCCCTGTGCAAAGGCCCCTTTTCCCAAAGTAACATTCCCCACAGTCACATAACGCAGGAATGACCCCACTTGTTGGCAGAAGACACTAATGAGGTGGTATCTGACAACTCCTCCAGTGGGATCAGAGCCTGCATCCAGAGCATCATGTGAAAACCAGCATTAATCTCTGGGAGAGGAGGCTGTTGAACTCATGGGATTGATTTTGTGTTTTATTTATTGGGGAAGAAAGAAAAGAGCTCTTTTGGGGTCCTGCTTTGCTTCATGCGATCCCATCTCTCACATGACCCTTCCAACCAATTTGAGCCACATGATGTTAACCACATAGGACCCATCTCCTCCCAAGAGCAGAGCAGGGCAATGTTGCTTCCATTTTCGCTGGATTCCTTGATTTCTTTTTCATTCCCTTTCCACATCCAGCCCTGCAAGCTGGACAGTACTGACAATCAACTGGCCACACTCTTCAGGTATTTAATAGCTGTGTAAATGAGGCACTTGGGGACATGGTTAGTGGTGGCCTTGGCAGGGGGAATGGTTGGACTTGATGATCTTGGAGGGCTTTTCCCACCTTAATGATTCTGTAACTCATCAGATACGCCCAGCTCCTGCAGGAGTGGTTCTCAAACCCTTTCCAAAACAGCCACCTCAAGTCTGCAGAACACCAAAGAGCGCAAGTGCTTCTCCTTAATTTAGAACTCGGGAAAAGAGAGGTGGGAGGAGATGGGAGGTAGTCTTCTCCTAACCATCCTCATCCATTGCCAAGTCACACCCCATAAGAGCCCCATGTTCTCAGTGGGATCAGGGACTGCAGGCTGGGACCTGCTAGTGGGGATTTCCCTTTAAATCACAGAACTCACATTAATGAAGGAGGCATTTATGTAGTCGGAGTCAGGAACCCCTTCGACAGGCGTCAGGTGAACCCTGGAATGATCATCTGGAGGAACATTGAAAACCTGCATTAAAAACAACTCCCTCCATGCAGCTGACACCTGGCATGGCAAGAAAGCCATGTTGGAGTGGAGCCCACGCTCACTGGCTCCCTGAAAAAACACCTTTATGCCCCCAAATTCTCCTTGCTTAAGTCTGAGGAGGTGTTACACCTCACCCAAGGCAGTTTTTCTTCTTTGGAGTGCACATCTGAGGACACCTAGAGCCAGGCCATTGCCCCATGCCACCAGGCAAGATGGGTCTTTTAGCATTTCCCATCCATTTCACTTTCCACGGCCTTCTGGCTGTTGCTGACTTGAGGGAGCTCTTCCTCACAGGTATCTAAAGCTAAAGCAGACACAGCCCCCACCTGGGAGGTGAAATGACCTCAACCATACCCTTGCCCATCCGAAAGACAGGAATGGGGAGCCCTGGCAGGAGCACTGGGTGTGTTTCCCCCCATGCATCCAGCTCCAATACATACAGGGCAAAATGTTGACATATCTGTTCTTCTCTTTATTCTCCTCCTTGGAAGCAGCTTCACACGTGGCCTGTATGGGACACGCTGGGAGAGCCTGAAATGGCAGGAAAAAAGGGCTTTCCATGATGTTCTCATGCCACGGCAGGAACCACGATGTGCTGACATGTGCCACATGTGAGCATCCTGCTGCTCTGGACATGTCCTCCGTGCCCACACCCCTCACCTCCACCCCAGCACCAGCTCCTCCTCCCCACCGAGCTCTAAGTGACCATTTAAATAGCCTGGGCTGGACCAGAGGGAGCAAATCTCTTTGGAAACGAGATATCTGGAATCTTCGGATCCATGAACACGAGGTGGCAGCAAAGCCTCCAGCTCCAAACCCACCAGCCAGCATCAAGGAGCTCATTTCTGCCCGCGGAGGCTCTTGCTGAGATTTCCTCATTAGCAGCGCTGCTAATCAGCACCTGATCAAGTCTCCAGGGCCTAAGCCCACCCAGCGATGGGAAGGAGCACCCATGCAGAGGGTTGTTCTTCAGCCAGCAGTGCTGGGGACCTCTGGTTGGAGGGTGTTGGGGTGACAGGTGACACTGTCACTGGGTTTCATGCTCGAGCACAGGAGGTGTTTCACCAACGCCATATTCCACATCCTCTTGGAACAGAGAAGAGGATCAGGACAGACTGGAGGTGTTCACTATCCCTTCCTCCAGCTGACAAGATGGCAACAGAAGTCTACAGGGCAATCAAGTATTTACAACCCAAAAAATCCTCTTTCCTGGGCATTCATCGCACCTATCTAGTTTCATGGAAGCGCAGCCAGGAAGGGGATCAAGTGTGAAACAGCTGGACACAGTCCAGTGGCTTTTTTTAATCTTCTCATCATCCTCATGTCACACTGTGCCTTGGACTTGGGTCTGGAGCACAAGGCTGATGAGGAGTGTCTGAGGCTCAGACTGGAGAAAAGGAGGCTCTGGGGGAACCTTCTCACTCAACAATTCACTGACAGGAGTTTGGGGCCAGGGGGGAGTTAGGCTTTGCTCCCAGGGATCAAGGGACAGGAGGAGAGGAAACGGCCTCAAGCTGCACCAGACGAGGTTTCAATTTGATATTTGGGGAAATTTCTTCCCTGAAAGTGCTGTCCAGCCCTGGGCCAGAGGCAGTGGTGGAGTCACTAACCCTGGAGGGATTTAAAAGCCACGTGGATGTGGCACTTGGGAGCATGGTTTAGTGGTAGCCTTGGCAGTGCTGGGTTGAGGGCTGGACTTGATGATCTTAGAAGGCTTTTCTAACCTAAATGATTCTATTCTATTTTTCATACTGCCAAGGTGAAGCAGGTTTGTGATCACAAGAAGATGTAGAAAGCTGTCTCAGAAGAGATGCTCCAGCACCGTGGGATAAGCCCAATACCCAAAATATTACTCACTGCTGAAGGCAAACCTTTGTCCTATCCATAGTCGTCGTTCTGTTTCAGGGTTAACAGCTCACTGAAATAGATGGGCCCATTTCTATTTCTCTGTCAAGGCACTTGTTTTGGCTCTTTGTGGATTTAAGCTATGAGGACTGAGAGGAGGGAGGCAGAGCTTGGGAGGAAATCAGAAGGCTGAGAACTCTGGAAGACTCCAAGACATTCAGGACCATTCCTGAACCCGGCAAAATGTAGCCCTGTAGTGTTGCTTGCTAGCAACTTTGCTAGCAGCATAGCATCCCTTTGCTTTCTGCACTGAGTGTGAGCAGACTGCACACCCTCACTGCAAATTCAGGGATAGAATTGTCTCTCCCTCCTCACAGCCCTTTGAGAAACCCCTGGACTAGGACCAGGCTGACCATCCGCGATGTAAGCCCAAATTACACAGCAGCCTGTGGGACTTAAGGGCAAGAAGAAAGGCACTCACGTTGAACTCCTCCCGAAAGAGCTTGTTGTCATCTGCCATACGTCGGTTGATCTCCTCCTCCAGTTTGTCCACGGGCAGAGGGGGGTACTTGCGGTTGGTGCTGGGGGAGCGGGCAAGCAGCGGCATGCTCTGCGGCTCTGCAACCACATCAGCATCAGAGGTGCCCACCCAGCTGCTCCCTGTGTCCAGCACTTGTCACCCATGTCCAGGGGGGCACTGGGACCTCTGACATCTCGGGCCACCTCATATCCAACTATCCCCAAGTTCTCATTGAATCACAGAATGGTTTGGGTTGGAAGGAACCTTAAAGATCATCTAGTTTCACCCTCTGGTACAGGCAGGCACACTTTCCTCTAGACCAGGTTGCTCCAAGCCCCAACCAACCTGGCCTTGAATGCTTCCAGGCCTTTTGGTCTTCCTATGTACAATGCACAAAGTTTAATATCCCACTGCAGTGCTTCAGGGGCAAAGTGGCTGGAAAGCTGCCAGTGGGAAAGGACTTGTGGGTGCTGAACAACAGCGACTGAGTATCAGCCCAAGTGGGCAAGAAGGCCAAGGGCCCCTGCTTGTACCAGCCATAGT